ACGTCAGATGAGGCATGCTGAGATTGTTTTGTTTCAGGAAAAGAGCACACGAGTCTAGGCATACCTGGAGACATCAGCAGAATGGATCGGAGTGCTAAGGTCTGAACCACTCCCAGCTACAGTCTTCTGGGAGCTCAGGTAACACTGGTGGTGTTGGCTCATTCCTTTGACACACAGACACTGGTTTCCCACTCTTTATTCAGTAATTACATATATTACATATATACATATGTATATATATAGATAGATATACAGGGCAGCCAAGTGTAGGATCTGATCAACTACCTCGATAGAACAAAGAACACTGAAGTTTTGGCTTTGTTTGTTTTCATAAAAGTAAAATTTAATAAAAGAAACCCAGTGGACTAGAACTTACTGGTAAGTACTGGGCACCAGATGTCCAGTCTGCATCACAAAATTTTGCAGAGCTAACAGAAAATGGCCATGCATCACAGAACTGATTTAATCAGTTCCATTTTATTTATAACATCATAACACGCAGAAGAGGCGCTGGGTTCTGTAAAACTACAAAGGTGAGGGAACACCTCAGAACAGCACTTGTCACTGAAACTTCAGTGAGACCAGGAGAGCCACCAAGGCCTGTGTTAAGCACAAAGCACTGGCAGAGTTCTAGAATGCAGGAATGGCCCAGAGCAATAACGTGCATGATATCACTACTGCAGTCATGGGTTGTAACTAGAGAACAACATCGTTATTTCAAACAGAGAAACGTGATTTGAAACTTGGCCTATGAGACTGGATGAATAGAAAAGGCTGCAAGGCCAAGCCAGTGCTTTTGCTTCAGAAATGCTGGCAACGGTTACTCAGCAAAAGCCACACCATTTCTTGGTTTCTTTAATATCTTTCCAGGCAAAAGGAATACAGCTCAAACTACTACTATGGGATTAGGAGACAAAAGCAGACTGATTAGTTCAGAATACGTGAAAATGGAAGGAAAATGAACAGCATAGCAGCAGTCGGATGGCTGAACATTTGAGAACATTTCTTGCTGCCTGTTTATCTCCAGCTTTATTTTACACAGTCCTCACTGGAAATTAAATAATCCTGATGGAAAGATGGATCGTCTTGCTGTTTATGAATATTTAGGGTATGTTGGTGGAACGCTTTTTGAATATGCATTGCTTTAACTTGTAAGAAAGCACAAAATTATTTCCAAGCGTGATACACCTCTCTCAACCCCATCACTTTTTGTTTTTAGCCAAGTACTGTCTGATGCTGCACATGAGCTTCCCAACCTAAACTCAAAGCAGCTGTTACCACAATCTCTCCACAACGGCTGAACAAATAGCATATCCATTAAAACATTTCAGACTGTAAGAACAAAAGAGTTCACATGGTTTGCTCTGAAGGTAACAAAGCCGAACTCCAAAAAATAGCTGACACTCACCCAGCATGCACAAAGTTCAGTGCTCACCCTTATTTACTGAGTGCCCATTGAAACAGAGCACTGGAGGGACAACAACTGGTTTACAGTGGCAGATTCTCTTCTGCTCTGGAAATCTGCCCAGATCTTTCCTGTGAAGACAAGACTCGCTTTGGAAAAACCTAAGGTTGCCCTGATTTAAAAATAAAAGCCACAAGCCCTTCCCCTCCCATGTCTACAAACCTACACAATAAAGTGCTGGAAACAAGGTTATAATTAGCATTTACACGAGCCATGAACAAAGAAGAACATTATCTCCATAATTAGTGCAAAACCAACATTTTGACCCTCTACTTTAGAGAAACAATCAAGTCTCAAATATATGGCTGCTTATGCTGGATGATGTAGTGTAGAGAAGCCCAAGAACAAAGGAAAAAAAACCAATTTTGTGATTTCATCTCACGTATAAGGTAAGAAAGCACACAGCACAGTGACAGAGACACGTGCAAACATCCCAGCGTCCACAGGATGTGAAAGTACAGGGGGTACTGGAGGGGGAATGGCTGTTCATAAGGGTGGATAGTGATAGGACAAAGGAGGAATGGTTTTAAGCTGAGACAGGGGAGGTTTAGGTTGGATATTTGGACGAAGTTTTACACACAGAGGGCGGTGAGGCACTGGAACAGGTTGCCCAAGGAGGCTGTGGATGCCCCATCCCTGCAGGCATTCAAGGCCAGGCTGGATGTGGCTCTGGGCAGCCTGGGCTGCTGGTTGGTGACCTGCACACAGCAGGGGGTTGGAACTGATGAGCATCGTGGTCCTTTTCAACCCAGGCCATTCTATGATACTTCCTGAAAGCAGGTTTCTTCAATCACACCAAGTACCTTTGAAAACATTCAGATGTAAAAGACCTTCATAATATTTAAAGCAGCTATTTTTCCAGTCAATACATACCAAACACACATGAATTTAAATTGGAAACTATATCTGGTTCCTTTACATGGAGTACCTGCAGGAATCGATTCCAAATACAGAGGCCTATTTTTCCCCTCTAAAAAGAGTCCCCAGTTGCTGGAGTTTCTCGAAAAGCCCAAGTGAGCAGTCTTACAGAGCAGAATGTTGTACTGTTTGCTTGTCTGCCCCAGCACTGTGTCAGCAGGGCGAGCAGGGAGCTCCCAGGCCAGGCAGCCAGGTGTGGTGCTGCACGGAGCAGCAGCAGTCGCAGGACCTGGTAAGACAGCCCCAGAGGAGAGCTATATTAAGAGTCCTAATTCTAGCCATACCCATAAGGGGACATCTGACACCATTCCAAGACAAAAAACCTTGAATTATAACATATGCCCACAAAACAAAACAAAAGAAAACACAGAGGAAAGCCAACTCACTGCCTTTAGCTAACTAGAGCCAACTGTAGGACAGGTGAGCTTCCCTGGAAGCTCATCTCCTTCCTGCACTTTTCAGCCACATAGAAAATAAACACACGAATAAATGAGAAAGAAGAAGAAATCTCAGAGCTTGGGAAGCTTGAGAAAGTCTCCTACAAAAACAGAACTGTAATATTTCTGCAGTAACTGTAAATAGCAATTGACTCACAGAGCTCTGCGTTCTGTTTCTAAATATGTTGCTTTGCAAAACCTTTCAATGTGATACCAACTAAATCTTCAGAATGACAAACAAGGGAAAAAGCTCCTCAGATCCATATTGTCTGGATAGATACACTTTGATCACTATTTGATTCAGTTGATACACACACCCCTTCCCCTACCCCACCCCCAAAAAGTTTATTAAGTATAGATCACATCAATATCATCCTGGGTACATTTCATCTTGTAGCCTAATAATGCTCTGAGCAAGAAAACCCAATACAAAGCCCACTGGTCTGTCCCTGGACTCAGAGGAAGATGGTCTGATGTCATATAATGTTGCTATCATCAGCTCGTACTCTGTGTCCAACTACCCTGGACACATCCCAAACAGGGCATTTTGTATTCAAATGTAGCATAAGCAATTTTCTAAGTTATCAAAACACAAAGGTAAATTGTTTGCTTCCAACAAAATCGAGGCACTTCTGAGTTCTTCCTACTGTTATCTGATATTGATCCTTGCAATAAAAGGACCAAGTCGGGCAGTATGTTAATAAAGCTCTGCAATATACTGCAGCATGATTTAAGACGTGCTTCCACATAAAGTCCAGAAACCTCTCACACACCAAATGTATTTGTGCTCAGTATGGATTCCTTCTCCGTTCAGAGCCCTAGAACCTGCTTCATTAAAAAGCAATTTTGGATGCAACATGCAGGCCTCTCTTCAAGTCCTCCAGAAGTACCAGACACATTCAGACTCCAGGTAAACAGGTAACAAGCTTCAGACACACTGTAAGTATCTCAGAGGCTTCAAGACACGCTGAATCCTACTGACTGCTGACAGTAACTGCAACAGTGACTGATGGATGACAAAATCACAGAGGGGTTTGGGTCGGAAGGGACCTTAAATCCCCCCCAGCCCCACTCCTCCCGTGGGCAGGGACACCCCCACAGCCCCAGTCCCCAGCACTGCAGCAACTGGGCACCCCGCAGGGGCAGCAGTGCCAGGGCATCACTGCCTCAGAGTGACATCCCCACGTGGTGCAGTAAAATTAGGAAAGCAACCCTTGAAATGCATGGAAGACACCATCTTTGAAGCTCCCAGCAGTGTATGTGCTATAAATAAGAATAAAAATGTGCAAATAACTAATTTACATGAATACTTACATAAACAATAATATAACCCTGAGCAAGCAGAAATTATATGTGAGGGACTAAGTAACCAGCATTGCCACGCTGTAAAACCAAGCAGATAAATGCAAGCTGTCTCCATGAATGCTGGCAGAAGGTGCTGTTGTAGAAATTCCCTTTTAGTGCTGGTGGGAAAGCACCAAAGAGAGATTCAAGAAGGAGGTTCAATATAGCAGCCTTCCATCTTAAAGCCAATCGCATAAATAGAGAAAAAGATAAACATTCCACTAAAAGTTGTAGGAGATTGAGATGTATAACACAGAGGTAATTACATAAACTGCCTTCTCTGAAATCTGAGAAAACAAGATTAACAATCTAAGTCATTTCAAGTGAAAATTATGTTGACAGCATGTTTTGAAAGGCAGTCCATCATTCAACCATAGCAAGTATATACACTGAAACTACACTTGGAGCTCCAAATGAAGCCCAACAGAAATTTCTGTCAACACACAAGTGTCGGGGGGGTTGGGAGGGGGGGAACCCACCATGCAGTGAAAAGCACTTCCTCATAGGAAATAATCATCATACTCCAGTACTCTTCATTTTATAAACTTACGATTAGAATGCATCAGAAAAGGAGTTATAGTAATCTATCGAAGAAAAGCTATTCAGCATATTTGCAAAGCAAGGGAAGAAAGAATTGTAAATTGAACTGTTATTTTGTTCAAAGCGATGCCACACGCCAGAACTTTAAAATACTAAGAATTATATGTTTCAAAGGCTTCCCAACAATTTCCGTTATTTTTATGTAAGTAGCAAATATTTGACAAAATAAACTGAGGAAGACAGCACAAACGATTCCCTGCTGTTATCAGGGCTGCATTATTTGTCATCTCACTTACCCCAGCTTCGTGCCACACATCTCCTTCTCTTTGCCTTTGCCTTTCTCCTTCACTTTTTCTTTCTCTCTGCCTTTACGCCGCTCTCTTTCACGAGACCCACTGTGAGTCCTCCTGTGACTGGATCTTTCACTGCTCCGACTATAGGAACGCTGCCGAGGTCTCGAGCGCGATCTACACAAAATCCACAACATCAAAGTTTAGCAATCGCACATTTTTGGGACTCTCTACACATTAGATTTGTTATCTTGTCCAACTATTTGGAACACACATCCAAATCATTTAGTGATTTAGATCCTTAAGTAAAACCCTGCCAAGTTCTCAAAAGTGAGTAAGAAAGCATTGTTTCCACTCTAAAGGAAGAATGTGAAATAAATTAAACCACAACAGACAGTACTAATGCATGAACAAAGCAATTAGGTCTTAACAATGCAGTCTTGAAGGCTGTTGGAGAAAGAAAGCATGAAAAACAGTGAATTTTTACACAATAATGATCTTAGCAAATAATCAAAGAAGTTAAGGAGGCTAATAAGTTCCTGTACTTAAATATTAAGTACTTTATTACTAATACCAATGTTCCAACAAAAGCAAAAACAGCAGTGGCATTTACAGTTCCCTGGCTTTAGCCTTCTGCTGACACACACGTAGTTTTTAATATCAAATCTCAGTCTGAAACACATTCTGCTGAGCATCTATGCATAGGCCAACCCTACAGTCCAGTACAGCAGGGAAGTGCATACAGGTGCAGGGGTTTGTGCTCACAGAGCCCTCTGTTCTTGACTTCAAGTTCTCCAGTGGCTCCAGGATCCCCTGTGCTCAATCACCTTACCCAGTCCTGCACTGTTACTGATATAATTGAATGAAAAAAGATCAAGTACTATCAGGACACAACTGTCTCTACATGTATCCAAGAGAACCTTTCATGATCCCCAATTTTCTTGATTTATAATTTATCATCAATCAGTACATCTCTGCTGACGGTACATGAGCAGCTAAACACAATGCACATTTAGGAGAACAGCAACACAAGTTCCCACTAGTTCCCAGTACAACACCATAAAGGTTCTCATGGCACCTCATTGAAAAGTTTCATTAAGTACCAAGAGGGCTGGGGGACAGGGAAGGGCATTTCATAAACCTGGATGAGAATTATTTAGCACCTTTCGGACTCCAAAGGCCTTTAAAAGCAAAATCACATACAAGAGATCACTCAACTTTAAAAGCAACAACTGTTTAATAAAACTCAACAATAGAATAAGCAAAAGAAAATACTACCTCCAGATGAAGCTATAAATCAAACCGAGGAAGAATGCTGTTATTGAGTCTGGAATGTGTCCAGCGCGCTGGGGTTAACGTACCTAGCCTTGCCATCGTGCCTTTCAGACTAGCACCAGGGGTCAGAACCTCCGTTTTAGGTTTCATTCAGCAGATGGCATCCCTCGCAACACTATATCTTCTATTATTGGTCACAGTATTAGCACTTACACAATAGATCAAATTACCACTTAAGTAAGTGGGACATTTCCCATCTCAGGATGGATTTTTATTATGTCGCCACAAATTCCAGAATTCTGTTCTCATCTAAGTAAAACAAACAGCAGATACAATTCACATGCAGAAAAACAGCTCCTAGAAATTAGAAATAGGTTTGTCACACTGAATTTGTAAATGTAGATTTGCACTGAACGCTTCCAGCAGCACTGACAAACAGATAAATGTCTTCTTTACAGAATCTGTCCCTGTTCTCTCATTTACAGTCTTCTGTACCCATAAAATTCATTCACCTAGAGCGATCAATAGTCACTCTTTATGCTTTGAGTATTGCAGTTACAAAAGATAGCTGGTCCACTTCGTGTTGCCTGTCCCAGCCACGCAGGGAGGGAGGTGTAAGACTATCAGTGGGATGCTACCATGAAAGTCTAAACAAAAATGTTAAGTCCCACTCCACAGAGGCCATCCCCGCAGGACACACAGCTTGGTCAGTCCCCAGCTCAATCCTGTCTGTGGTGCCCCACTGTAGCACACATCTAATGGGAAACATTCCCAAGCTGATGCAGTGCATGCTGCCGCTGCACCAGAAAACACCTGCAGAGCCTTTCCCATGTGCTGCCTTCCAGGATGCGATGGACCCTGTGTTCATCAACACAGAGCGAGGCAGCCAAGGGAACTGCATAACAAAATTCAGATCAAGAGAGCTGTAAGCAAAACAATGCATCATACTGCTTCAAGCAGCTGGGTACCCAGCACCGCACCCTCCTGAGGGGCTGGGTTCAGCCCCAGCACCCAGCAAAGCAGCACTCACCCCCACACAGCTCCATCCCACCATGCTTTGCACAACACAGCCATCTTTCTGGAGCCCCAAATCCTACAACATTTGCCCTAGGAAAGCTTCATGCAAACTTCCAGGCCCTGTAATAAGTCCAAAACACTCAATAAGCTCATAGCAGCAGAGAACAATTTCATAAAGTGAAAATTTGAGCACATTGAGGTTGCTACTCGGTGCCTATCAAACTGCAGCACTTTTCCATTTGCAGCACAATGAATTCACCTGCACGCTGCTACGAACTAATACTGCAATATCCTGCAGAAAGGGAAGGCAAGCTGTAACTTCACGGCACAGAGCTACACGTCACCTGCACCATGATGCCCTCCAAGCAGAAAGTCCACAGATCGAGAGGAAAATGAAAACCTCTGCTCTTATTGCTATCATTTTTTTTTTTTTTCCATAATCCCAATTCCTAATGTTGGAAAACGTTCGAATTACACAACTATGGGAAGATTTAAATAAAAACAAGGTGGGAAGTAGGCTGGCAGCACAGCCCCTCCCCCAGCACCCAGAACACCCACCCGCCATGCCAAAGGTTAAGTCATTTAGGCAAGTTCAAAGATCTTCAAAGGGCTCTTAGATCCAGATAAGCCCATATGTTACCAAAATTCTGTGAAAAGCTATTACTTTCCAATCTGCTTTTCATGTCTAACTTGCAGAACACACAGATGCTTGGCATCACTCGGTATCCCAAAATTCTCACACCAGATAATCAAGGCTCACCAATAACTTCCCTATCTCAAATCCTACCAGACGTCTTTATTCCATCAACACTTAGTCCACTTGTAAAAATTGAAAGTATCCATAAAAGCCCATTCTGTTACTGCACAATAAGTGTTAATTTGCTAATTTCTTCACAGGTAATCAATTAAAATGTAAAATATTGGATAAAATTAGTTGCACTAAATTTAACAGCTGCTCCGTGAGCATAATTAGTTTCACAAGGGCCATATGTATTCTGAACAGAGACAGAGTTGAAACAAATAAGCAGATTTTAAAACAAGTTTGAGGAAATCTGCATTTAATTAGCAGGTGGGCACTACAACTGCATAATGTTTTTATACATTTATATTTATGAAGTGACAGAAGATCTAAAGGCTTTTTAAAATGGCGTTTATTGTTTGAATGGGAACTGTTTTGCTGCATGCTAAAGTGATTTAAATCCTTATAGCTCCGCTTTGAAAAAATCATAAATGGTGAAAGAAAACATGTGGAAAACTGTAAAACTAGAAAGAATTTGCGACAAAAAGCAGATACACATACCATAACCAAAAGGAAACTACACTTAATTAAATGTACACTACATCTGGAATATCAGCCTAATAAAACGTGAAACTATTAATTTTCATTGTTCTAAAGGAAATGAGGTCAGTGTCGTTTAGTATTTCCCCAATTATATTGCACTAAAGCATTGAGCTGTATCTTATAGCTACAATCTCATCTTTGCAAAACACTACGATCTGAAAGCAGCCACCGAAGCAGGCTTCTTCAATAGAGGAATTAGAATGCAAATGCAGGAAAGCTGAAATAAAGAAAAAAAGCATTTCTGCACTGCAAGTAAGGCTGTTTTGTTTTGTTTTCTTTTTTGGGGGGGAGGAGGAACAAAAACAATTTTCCTGGCAAATAACAACCACAGCTCCAAAGTTTCTGAGCTGTCAAGTGCTTTGCTGGGACTCTTTTTCCATCAGCTGGCACAACTCTTATGAGCTTATCAGTAGCTCAATAACCACAAACAAAGCCCAACAAATTCACGCCTGTTTAAGACTTCAGCAATATATCACAAGTCTGGAAAGAACAATGGAACAACTGCATTGCATCACGCCTGGATTGTCACACTGCTAATAGAGACACAGCACAACCACGGCTCATTGCAGCACAATGACATGTTCTCTTACAAAGCACGTCAAGGGAAGTTTTCCTGTTTAACTCAAAGCCACAAACACACAGCACAGGTTCCTGAGGAATGTGCAACAGTTTCAAGCATCAGCTGCAGTTGCTCAAAGTGTGGAAGTTAATAACATTTGTAATGTGAACATGGATACCACTACAGAGCCCGTCTTATTTTGTTTGCAATTTAAAAAGGCATTTAAGGAAGTTAAATACAGACAATACGCTAATGATAACGTATAGATAATATGGCTTATATATTGCTGAAGTGAATGAAAGATGAAAACACGCACAAGCAGGGGGTCAGCTTTTAAGTCTGACATGAGACTGGCGTTAAGAGGAAAGAGACATTGCTTCAAGGCAGCTGTTCAGGCAGTCAGTAAGAGAAAATAGAGGTATTAAAGATAGTAACAACATCATCCACTGCGCTGGAGACAGGCAAGATGAAATATAAGCAGCAACAGAGAATCAGGAACACAGTTCGCAGAATGGGGAAAATGGATTCACCAGATACAGGCATCAACTTACTTCAGTAATAAACAGTTCTCCACCCATAAATCATGTTAATTACATAATTAAACATTTGAGGAAATTGCACTCAAGCTTCCAGTAAACTCTAATTAAAAACAAACAAACAAAGCAGTTACTGAAATCTTGGCATGAGGAGCAAATAAATGCAGCAGGACAGCAGAACGGGCAGAAAAGACATTGCTGCTGGGTTTGGTTATTCTCAAGCCACCCCTTTGTTACCAGTCCCATCCTTCTGACTGCACCTCCTGGGCTCCTGCCCTCAGCCCCAAAGGAGGGTGGGATGTGCTCCGTGCCACAGCCCCTGGCCACCCAAAGATGCAGCACCGCCACTGACTGTGCACCTCGAGGTTGGTGTGTGCCCACCGCACTGCAGAGCTGTTGGGAAACCTACAGGGCATCCATAGGTTTCCAAGTGGAAAAAAAGTTAACT